TTTAAGTCAGATTTTAGCATTTGGCTAAATTGGCGAGTGTTAGCGCTACCCCAGCAAAGCTAATTGACACTATAGGAAATAAGAAGATATCCATGACAAGTGATCAAAAAATTTTGGAAGAATTCCTCTGTTTAGCATAGTATCAAATAATCTTAGCCATGCTTTTCCTAAGCAACCCAAATCTTAATCAGTTTTATCAGCTAAAGGCCTTTGCTTGGGGTAAAACTCAAATGCAGTGGATATAAATTTTTTTTGGGGGGGAGGGGGGGGGGTTGGAGGGGGATGGGAAACCTCACAACAACAGCACATTGCTGTCAGACCATCCAGGAAGTGTAAATTTTAAATGGTACTTAAATGGGCATTTGGGAAATATTCATTTACATTATAAGAAGAACATTATTGATTGAACTGGAAATAGATCACTTTTTTCTTTTTACATTACGTTGGCCTGGTTTATCTCTTTTTCTCTCTTTTAACAGATTTAGGTCGCAATTGTGTTTTTTTGTGTGTATGTAATAACTGAAAAGTGAATTTTACTGATTTGTCATAAACAGCCACTCTTTATAAAACTTACAGAAACCCCAAAACCATTTTTTAAGCTTTTGAAATGGTCCACTGGCATTATGCAGTAATTCTTATGGCACCTGGTGCCTGGAAAAAAATTGATCATCCATAACTCTTTGATCATTGGCACAATTTTATGAGAATTGCAAAGAGGATAATACAGAACACTCTTTCCTGGTACCAGATGTTAGTCTGATGATGGGCTTATTGTATTTATAAACATTTTAAGTGATTTTACTTGAAGGTTAGATAAGGACAGCCAGATACAACATGCTCAGGAAATTAAACTTTGAAGCACTGTGTTACTGATGATATTAAATTAATAGTGCATGGTGCAGTACTTGATGGCATGATCAGGTCTTTTCACCATCCTATAACAGTGCCATTTTGTTGATACCTTTCCCAATTAATGTTTAATTTTCTAATAAAACTATGCACTTTCATTTCCTTACCTTATATAGCTATATGACCTTTAGGTGGAGTAACCTATTAGATATTACATCGGACACGTAAGAGATGAAACCTAATAGTAAAATTGGGTAAAAACAGGCAATTATTTTTATGTGAATGCATCCGTGTGTTAGGTTATGTTTATCGTGTGGGTTTATAAGGTCATTTTACAAGTGGCAATTTTGAGTCTTTGGTGAGTCATGTTCGAGTGTTTGCACTACCTGAATGATGATGTCATATTATGAAGTAGAGGTGCTCGCCATTGACAGTATTTACCTTGCTAAGAAAGTTTGGATGGATTTATAGCCTGGAACCATGCACTTCAACTGTTTTAAGGTAAAATATAGAACCAGTGTTGAATTATGTTAAAATATAGAGTGGAAGTGCTTCACATTGATGTATAATCATTGCTGACTCAGAGAATACACTATTTTTTTTTTAGGTTAAAAGAGAATCATGTTTAGAATATTGAATATTACCAAGGTTCAATCACTGGATGTTATGATCACCAATATGAACAGTAGTTTACGTTGATGTTAGTATTTACCCAACTAATAGTACTTCGATAGCTATATAACCTGGTACCATCTACTTCACATTGCTTGAGGGTGGAAAAAAGTAGAACCCAAATATTCTTTTTAATGGTGTCAGATCGTAGAGAGATAGTGTTTCACATTGACAATGCCTCGATCCGCACTGCCATAACAGTTAAAATAACAACAGATTATTATGTGTACAAACTGCAGAGGTAACTGCAGCAAATAAACATGCACATATATGCAATTGTAGGAGTTAACCTGAAAGAAAGATTTTGCATTTTAGAATAGGAGTATGCTCTTTTACTGTTTTTAAGGTAAAATGTCCAAAGGAGTACAAGTATTTTGTGATGCCATATTACCTAGCCATACTTTTCCAAATCAGCAGTTTCTTCCTCCTTTTAGTAATTTTGTATGATGTTGTCATCTGCAACGGTTACAAGATAAAAAAGCTTATGTTTATACATGAAATAATGTCTGACCATGCAGACATGGGGCTTCATATTGGCATTTACCTGGTTTTGAAGCGGTTCACCTCAAATGTATGGTATTTTAAGGTAAAATATAGAATGCATTGGACTTGTGTGCCATCATCATATTATACAACTATATTCTTCCACAATATCACTTACTTAGTCTGTTACTAATAGAATGAACAGTGATGGTTTTGTT